GAGGATGAATAAGCTTTTCAAATTGGAGACAAATAAAAGCACGAGCTAGATTGTTGAAATACGTGTAACATTGAATAATGATAATGATGAAAAAAAGGAAAAAAATATAGAATAAGGTGAATGCTCAGCTCACTTGATTTCTTTACTTGACAATCTTCAGTAAAAGTAATATTTTCTTCTATGTCATCCGGATGCGAGCAAATATAGCGAGCCAGCTCACGCTCCAAGTCTGCATCCAATTCCGGATCGAGGTCGGTCCTAAGGCCATCTTCGGCTGCCTCTGAAACCGAAGTTGTGGTGTTAGCTAGAGTAGCAGTAGTCTGGTGGTTAGCAGTATTTGAGATCTCAACGGAGGAAGGAAGAAGGGTATTGACAACTACGGAAGTGGAGGCAGGTAATGTTCTTCCCTGTCTGCAGATATCAGCGGCATGCTCAAAACATAGTGGATGACGCTGCTGATTCGGATGCTCAAGGGCATGAGTATCACGGATATCATCGCTTATCTCAACCTCGTCATCGTCTTCTCTCTCTTCGTCCTCATCACCAGCCTCAGCCGAGATGCACAGCAGGCCAACACTATTAGTCAGAAGTTTTGTGCTAGTGGGTGGGCAGGTGGACTGCAGTTGCATCTGTTGTTGAGAGTTGATCGAGGCAGTAAGACGCTCGAGCTCGAGTAACATCAGCTCAGCAGTTGATTGACCAGAAGAATCACTCAACTAAAGAGCAAAAATAGCATACGAATTGGATGTAAGTATTCAAATACATTTAATATGCCTTGAAACAGTAATATGAGGCCTATAGTGAAGACTGGGGTATAAAAAAGAAGTTAATAAGGGCCGGGAATAAGGTGAATGAATGATTCAAAGCAATGCATTCAACCAAAAAATCGAGAAGGCAAGCAATATTTTAAAAAAATAAGCAAAATTGAAAAGAAGTTTGGCATAATAGTTAGATTTTTTAATTAATCAAGTCAACTTATCAGAACGCCTAAATGAAATATGGTGAAATATGGTGGTCCAGGACCAGAAAGCATAACATGCGAAAATTACAGACTAGCCAGCTTCCAAATAATGGACTTATAGAAAAACAAATTTTAAAATGAACAAATAAAGTGAAATCGTGGATATAAAACCAAGATGGCGTTAATTCTATTTTCGTCGCATTCACATTTCCCTGTATAGAATTGGTTTGATCTTGTTTCGTCATTTACGCTAAAAAATAGGACAAGGGGGAGGAGAGATATAACAAAGGCTAAACGGAAAATTGATCAAAAGAATTATCTTCATTTGACACTTTAATAAGTTATAAATATGTATCAATGATGGCACCTCTGAGTTAAGATATTGAGATGAAATTTCCAGGGATGCACCAAGCCAATAACCGACGTTGGAAAGTATCATAGCTATTATGACAGAGGTCAGTGATCAAGATGTGCTCATCTAGAATATCCTGACAACAAAAAACAAATAGAGCAAACGAGGTCAAACCACTTAAATTCAGTAAATATATAATGTAAATATTAAAGTGGTTTGACCTCGTTTTTGCAACTTGGTCGTGCTGTTAAAACTAGTTAGATGAGCGCACCATGTCTGAAGTCCTCTGGCATGTTCATGCTAATTTCAGGACTTAGTACATTCTCAGACGTTTCGCCGGCCTCAATCGGAATTATCAGTGAGTCCTGCTAGTCTTAGCACCAAGCTCCAACTCGTCAAAAACAAAAGCGAAGTATATCATTTAGCCAACTTTTCAGCTGAACGATAGTTGTCTCCCTCCTGTCCTAGTACATCCACCTTTCCCCTCTCCTCGTATTTTACTACTTCATTATCATAACTTATAACTTGGTTATACTGGACTAGGCCAGAGATGTACCATTTCAAAGGGGTTTAATGGGGCTTTATCAAACCTCCCACTAGTTTATTTTGCCCTTCCCTTCTTGGACTCAGAAATTGATGCTCTGACTTTGACCTTTCAGTCTGCAAAATATTTTATTAAACTCCCATTCGAATCTCCTTCATACCATCGAAGATCCATTTATTATCCAACTGAGTGACTGATTCAATCCGGTTCCAGTCACCGTAGTTCTACCCAAGGCGTTATTTCTCATGTTCTGCCACAAGCGTTTGATAAAAAGGTTCCAAAGCTCTGATTTTCAAGATTGCGGATATTGCCCTAGTTCCAAAGACTAACTTAATACTGCGATTTTCCTTATCTACGTACGACATATTTTGGGATTAATCGGGTAATCAGACAGTCTTAAAAGGACAACTGATAACCTATATTTCTGCTGTCTGTAGA